TTGTGAATGTTTTAATTTATAATACAATTTAAATTAAATGGTAGTGTTGTCATAGTTTTACACATCTAATTAATTAAAATATTTATAATTATTATGTAATATCAGTATTTTAAAAATAAATATATATTTTATTATAATACATAGTTGTGATTGGTTGACTGTATAAAGTAATGCATTTTTTTTTCCATACAATTTTATAGTTAAAAAATTAGACACAACTAATAAAAAATCGCAATGTTCAGAACATCAACCATACAAAATTCCTACGATGACACATGTATTTTACTAAATTTTAAGAAGATTAATCCATAATTTACAAAGTAAAATTTTCCCATAGAAATTTTTAACTAATCTACGGGACAAAGTTATCATTTTCTTTATAATTATAGATGTACCTTATTCAACCAAGTTAGGCCCCAAACACAAATTCCAAAGCAGGACCAAAAATATACAGTTACAACAAAAGCCTGCAGAGTAGTGCCTAAAGCTGTTTCTTCTGTGTTCTTCAAACTTCAGACCTCATTTCTGTGCCAATGTTTTGTGGGGACACTATTGTCATCTTTGTCTTACTATTTTTTTCACCATCAATATTAGTATCCGATCTGTTGAATTGACTAATCTGTTTTGAGATCAGTTATGACATTAAATAGTTTCAATTTTCTTGATTACAGTTGTAGAAAATCGAATCATAGTTCTTTCTATTAACTTTAGCGTCGATCACCGCTAAATCAACTAATGATTCTTTCTATTTTCCAAATTTAAAATAAATTAAAAGCAGAAAAAAACAAACTTCAGCAAAATAATAAGTTTCACACAATATAAACCAAAGTACTAATTGGGCTGTGTTGTGGTCCAAGAAATGGAAGGCATTGCAACTAGAATAAGTTTCAACCATGTCATCAATTCAATTTTATCCTATCATAGTTCTAAGGAATAAATTCTCAACCCATTCACTTTTATGTTTAATTAAAGTTAGTTTCTATCTAGTAACAAGGAGACCAAAGGTACCAAAATTGGTATATTAAAGCTTTTATTTCTCTCTATAATAAAGTAACTAAAGGTTAGTTTTAGAATAAAGGAAAACTCAAGAATTTATTCCCTTACCTATCTTCTTTTCTGTGTCCTATAAACCTTGTATTCTTGACTGGTCTTAGTTCCTCTACTTGTATTCAATATATTTTTTTTAAAATGTTACAATTTACTTAATTATTGTAGCATTTAAGTGTTTGTGTATCAATACAAAAATAATCAAGTATTAAAATTTCAATGTTGTCGATAACGATAAATTTAGATCAAACTTTTACTATTATTAAGGGTGACAAAGCAGATCCGATCCACTGAACTTATCTGTTTTACCGTATTTTTTCACGGATCGAACTAATATTTTAAGCTCACATTTTTTATTAAATTGTATTTGAATTGAAAACATAAAAAACAAAGTTTTATACGATGTGAAAGGTGTGTTATTTTTGTACTTTTTCTTGCAAATAGTTGAGATTCCTTTACAGAAATTTGGATTCATATTTAATCATTATTGGGATGGTCCTTAGACAGTGGAAACATAACATGGCTCAACAGACAAATATTTGTATATACTTAATATTTAATTTTCTTAATCATTTTTTATTATTAATTCTTACAAAGTTTTCAAGATCCAACAGATAAATAAGACAGGGAGTCCTGTTTATTTTTTGTCCAAAAATCATCCTATAGTCTCCTAGTCAACTACCCTATGATCAATTATTTTCACTTGAAGTTAACTAGTACAATAGAAACTAATTTTATTTTTCTTGATTTTAAACACCCCTTTGAGAATAAAAAAATGTTTTCACATTTTAGCTTATTTATTAATTTGAATATTCAAACAATATATTGAGCATTGAATGCAGCTGGCTTATCAATGAACAATGTATCAAACGAAAGCATCTATATACTGCAATGATATGTCACCAATTTGACATGGGAAAGTAACCAAAACTAATTAATATCCTAATTTGTATAAAGATTACAACTATGATTTGTATAAGATTATTAAGTGCATCATCACATGATATCAATGACTTGTGCTCTTGTCATTGACATGTGCTATTTCCTAATATGATTTCTATTTTCCTCTTTTTACCTAAAATTATGAGTTTATAAATTGTACGTTTTAGCCAAACAATTCAAAAACATCAGGCTCAACAACGAAAAACAATCCAAAATACTCTCGTGGAAAGCGACCAAAGAGGTAGACCGAAGAATTGTTCATTATCAACCATTATATTAAATCAGACAATTATCTGCATTCCGCGTCAGATCAAACATAAGTAGTTTTAACCGTGCATCATATATAAACTCTTTCATTCACTCTTACAAAGTAACGCCTCTCTAAACTCACTGACTGACTTATAAATTAGAATAGTAACATTGTTGAATCATATTAGAGACCCGAACCACCGTACCAAAGAACTCCGCATCTATGCGTCATCGTCATCGATAGAGATTGTAGACGTAGTAGGCAAGTTTGTTGAATTATATCTAAACATGATTAATCCTAAGTTTGAAAATTACTACATGTTGGATCTATCACAATATAATTATCTTCACCTTTTTCAAAACAATGTCTAGCTGTCTTGTAGTGTGAGAGTCCGTGCATCTTGATCCATGTACTATACCTACCTAATGGGGACCATTATTTTTGTATTATAAGAATTGAGAGTTCATGTTATGTTAAGATTCTTAGTTTTTAGTGTATACCTTCCACCTAATGTGGTAGCATATTCAGTATCTTTTTATATAATTTCTCAATTACTTTCCTTCTGAAATGTCATCAAATATATGCATAATATCAACTCAAAAAGAAGAAAAAAAGTATAGTAAGAAATTGTAGCAGGTGAGTTGGGTATAGACTAAGTCCACTTTTTACTACAGATAGAAACAAAAATGGTTAGCAAATTGAACTAAAATTTCTGCAAAATCATGCTCTATACAATTGACATGTGCTCTATAACTGAATATATATTATATAGAAGCTTCAAAAGGTTAAATATACGTGCTCTTCAAGAAAATAAATTACATATTCAATAAAAATAGAAACGGATATTTCTTTCGGTTTAATCAAAGATTTCAAATTCAAATTCAATTCTGAACACGTTGCAGTGTTAAATTTTTTTGAACAAGAATTTTGTCGATTATACAGTTATGCGTGGAGAATGACCCGACAAAAAAAAAATCGAAAGGGATGTGTGGGGTCAGTGTAGAAAAATTGGTGCATGGTAGAGTGATAAACAAAAGGGTTATTTTGAACATAAGAATTAGAAACATGATATTTCTTTTTCATGCAATTTGGAAGTAAGCAAGACAAGAAGTAACAAACAAAGAGAGTAGAACCAAAAATAGTTTAAGAATGGATAAGATGTTCTTGTCCACTTATATATGGCTATATTATAATTGTCCGGAAGACATGGCGCCGTATAATTTTGTATGGCTTTCAATGTGAACAGCTTCTTAATTAGATATTTAACCACCAAATCTTGGCATAGCCTTACATATAGAGACACATCAGTTTGTAAAAGCAAGAGAGTTCATTTTGACCTTAGTATTAATCAAAGTTATCTGAGGATATCAATTGATTTGGTAAATATGTTTATTTATTGAATATACATGACACATACCACATACATTAGTCTTGGGAGGACATTGTTAGTCTTGGTTTAAAGATAACAAAATGAATATAATTTATATTTAAATACAATTTAATTGTGATCGATAATATTGTTTGAAAACTTAGTTAATTATAGTTTAATTATGTCAAATTTCAGATTATATGTTATTAGAGATGGTAAAACGGATTTAATCTATTGGACATGATTATTTTTTTTACAATTTTTTAAAGACGGCACAAAATTTTAACCTAGTGTAGTTTAATATATTGTCCCGTTTCAACTTTTTTTTTTTTTTTCAGAAAGTTGCAGACGCGGACATTATCATAAGTTTTGATAATTTTTAAACTAAAAAAAAATGTAGTTCTCGCGAATCTGCCCTATCATACTATTTTTTTTGCAGGACAGATCATCGTGTTAAGGCTGCGCCCTACAAAATATTCATTTCAGTCTGTCCTGGCTTTTTGCATTGACGAGATTCCATGCAGACTTTATATCAACAAGTACTAAACTTGGTTTCAATTGAGCAATCACAGTTATATGATTATACCATGAATACATGAAAATGAAATAGATACATTCAAATGTGGTAGCAAATTTTCAAATCTTGTTGTTTGCAATTACAACTACATATCATCCTCAAGTATATTTTTAGTAGTTTAGCTACAAAAATATTTTATAATAAATCTTAAGTTTGAATGATCACTATATTACTTTTTACAAATATTTATTTGATTATAAGTTAACTATAAAATCAATAGTAATAATAAAATAATATTCTTTTAGCTTTTATCATTTAAAATTTTCTATTTATAAAAAATATTAAATGATTAATAAATTTGATCATTATATAGAAAGAATATTTTAATCATTTAATAAATTTCAAAAATAATTTTTTAATAATTAAAACCAAATATAACATATTACAATTTCATACTGCAATTTAAAAATAGGATATACTATATTATACACTACATGGATTTTGGATATTGAGAATGGTGAATTGAAGAGAGTGAGATCTATCAACAATTCAACATAATTTAAAACTGCACTTTTCATCAAAATAACTCTGCAAACATGAAGATTTGCACAATTCCCCATACCACCAAGTACACAATTCATCATAGACCTATTTCTTTTTCAAAAAGTGTAATTTAAATAATAAAGAAAAAAATAAAAGAATATATATAACCACCATAAATAAAATCCATCAATATTCCAATCCACCCAAATTGAATTTGAATGTATAATCAAAAGCACAAGTTACATCTTACAACAAGTGATCAAATAGTGATAATATTACTAAAAGAAAAACACCTTATAAAAAAAAGTTGCATCTATCTATCTTTCAATTCTTCACATGCTTCTTGCAAGCATTTCTTGATACCTCCTATCAGATTCTTGTTTTTCCAGCTTAAACTTCTCATGACAATTAGCAATAAACATTTCAGCCAACATATCAATATTCTCTTTCTCTTTCTCATTCACAATCTCTTTCTCTTTTGCACCCTCTTCAACCTTTTTCTCTTCAAGCCACTCTAAATACCCCGCTAGATTCGCGTCCGGAGTCTGGTAAACAGACTCCGGAACAGGCAAAACATGCGAGGATTTTGATGAGCACCAGTTGTAATGAAGCCTAAAAGATCCCAAAATTATCTTTTTTCGAATGTTGTTCCGCTTTTTGTGAGAAGAGTAGTAAGTGAAGTTGATGGTTGAGTTGTTGTTGGTGTCTTTGAGAATTTCGATGATGTAATGTTTGAGTTTTGAGAGTGCGCGAAATATTCGACATAAGTGCGAAACTAAGAGGGTGTGGATGATTCTTTTGAGTTTCATGGAGGTTAAATTTGAGGAATGTGTTGATGATGATGATGATTTTGGGGAGAAAATTTGAAGAGGGTGTAAGGATTTGAGATGAGATGGAGTCAACATTTTTTTGTATGTGGTGAATTTGGTAATGGATAGAAATGGAATCAGTGTTATGTGTAGTTTATAGGGTGGGATTATTATGTGGAATTACTGATTTGTCCTTTGTGTTTTGGTTTATTTAAAGGTGTACCATAAACTTTTTTGATTTGAAAATAGTGATTGTTTGGTCTTTTTTTCTTTTGTGGATAATATGTTGGGATAAGACCCGCTTGCTTGATTTGAAATTCTGCGATTTTGTTATGGATTAATTAATTTAAAATGGTGTTATTGTTATTATTATGTTATGTTATGTGTTTACCATGTCTACTCTCAGATCTATTATATATAGTTTGATTATTGTATAATAATATAAAAATTAATATAGTTTATAATTACAATTATAGTTTTTTATTTATTTATGTGTATAAACTTTAAACTATTTATGATGAGATTGAATATTGGTACTAGTTGATATGGGGACTATTGTTTGACATTTCATTGTTGTTTCCTCGAGAACACGAATGGTTATTTTATTGATCAGAACCTTCGTTTAAATTTTGCAGAAGAAGCTTCGTAATATTGTCGATTTCTCTGTATAAACAATAGCTTCTTTGACACTTTATTTGGATTAAATTGGAATAGAACGTGTGTCATTGAGTGATATAAGAGGGTAGACCATGGAAATAATAAGATTAGTGACTAATTTTTTCTACATAAAAGAGATCGATCACAAGTGATAATTTTGTCTTTGTTTATTATTTTAGTGTTTTTGCTTTTTTGAAAAGAAAGATCATCGAATAATCGAATATATCTCAGTAAAAGAAAATCATTTTGATTGTGTTAATTTATTTGCATGTTGATTAATTACAAATCACTACATTATGTGATATGGTACATATATTAAATATAGAAAATTGTTATGTAAACCGAGTCAGACTTTTTTATCCCATAAATCAGACTTTCAAATAACAAGTAAACAAATATTTTTAAATAAAAGAATTTGAGAATTTTTTAATCCATTTCTTAATACTCTTAGGCGTTTATTAAAATTCTTTTTATATCTCTTATTTTTGGAGATAAATATCTAAACGTATCCTTTTTTTTTATACCGGACGTTTTTGGAAATGTATCTACGGAAAAAGTTTTGGAGATGCAACTCCGAAATTTTATCAGAACAGATTTTTTTTCTAATTAAAAAAATCAAATTTTGTTGATCGCAGATGAAAATTAATTGTTGGAAATGAATATAAAATGACATACATCCGTAAATAATATATATATATATATATATATATATATATATATATATATGGCACATCAATGTCATCAAAAATATAGTACATCAAAAAAACATCACAATCACTACTGTGTGTGCCTGACCGCCTCGACTTTGCCTCCTTGTCTGCCTCTCCCGCCTCCTCGGTCGTCCGGTCTGCGTTCTCAGCCATCGATCCCACCCGTCCTGACGTGATGCTTGCGGTACATAAGTGTCCTACTGCCACCGCAATGATGTCATCCAATACACGCCTGTGGTCAGACCACTCAGGGAAGAAACTGGCGGCAATACCTTCCCGTACCATCTCCACTATCTAACGACAGCGAGGCAGAACATCTTGAGTGTGGTCCAACTGAGATTGTTGCTCCTCTAAGATCTCCTGACGAGTTGGTCTGGACGGTGATCCCTCGGCAGTGGACACCATGTAGGAGATGTGATACGGTGAAAAACCACATGGTGTAGCCATCAACGCAGCTCCAATCTTTCACTGTTCTAGTCGCCCGAGCCTCGTCAGGTACCATGTGCCTCTAGGATGAATTATAAATTTCCAATGAAAAAACAGTATGAGTAATGTTACCTCTCCATCCCAAACATGTCTGGCAGTATGGTCGGCGTACCCTGTCAATAGGAACATATCTGAGGGACCCCATAGGAAACCCTCAGGCTCATCGTCATCACCCTCTGAAGGTGTTATCGGATCAACATCAGGAGGAGAACCAAGAGTACCCCGACGAGGCCTGCGGGAGGACGGAGCCTGTGATGAACCCTCAACTAAATCCCGACGCCTTCGGGATGAAGAATTGGATGATGGGGCGGGATACGAGGTTGATGGAATGTCATGGGCATGTGATGATGAAAGATGTGTCTCAACTATATCGGTCTCGACAACGGTGGTCTGGCTCCACTCACGTCTCACAGATGCATGCTGTGAAACTCGTCCGAGTCACAATCTATGTTCTCTGTCTGCCATAATGTCTACAAGGTATAACCAATAAAAAAACAATTAAATACAAATAAATAAATAGACAAAAAAGAAAAAAAAATTAATATTTTTTACTTTCGGATGTATACATGCGGAAAAACCCAGAATTCAGAAAGTTAGACTTGTTTTGAAGCTGCATCTACGAAATTGCTCTAACGTTAATTTGTTTCGTAGATGTAGCTCCAGAACTTCCTGCAACTCCAACAACAATGTCAATGGCGTTCCCCACCCATGAAAAACTATTTTATGAACCCCTAACCGTCCGTTTCAGCCAACAAACAATACCTACATTGTCTCTAAACTATGTTTCTAAAACTATCTAACGATTTCTACCCCTAAAACTATATTCTAACTTGTTGAAGGGAAATACTCGAAAACTTTTCGATTATATCGAGTTTTGAATGATTTGGAGTGTCTTGATCGTTGAGATGAATGCTCCTTATCGAATTTGATTGAAAACAATTAAATTTGGTGGGAAAAGTTTTTTTTTGAAGATTGAGAGAGTTTGTAAAGTTTGAGTGTGAGAAGTTGAAAAATGAAGAATGAGGGAGGAGAAAGGACTCTGACGCGAATGTATTATGATTTGTTTCGGAGCTATATAAATATAAACATTCCGTAAATGTAGCTCCAGAAAAAACCAACGTTAAGTAAAAAAAGGTGCGTCTGGAGATACATCTCCGGAAGTAGAGGGTATTTTTGGAAGCACACATGGTGCCTAAAAACTTCAAGGGGTGAAGTCTGAAATTCTCAAGAGTTTTGTAATATATGTTGTGATGTAGCCCAACAGTAATATATAGTTCTGACTTCTTACATGCATGCAGTTTAATTCTCACCGTTGTATATTTGAAATCTTATTTTTATTAAATTTTCCTATGCTTTTTAATGATTAATATGATTTAATAAATTTGTATTTATTCAATGACATTGATATTGATATGGTATTTATTTGAGAAAATTATATATATTTTTGATTTTAATATCTATATATTTTTGTTTGGTCATAAAAATTGTTAATATTGTTTATACATGAATGAAAACAAATATATTTAATGAATAAATTTAAATTAAGTTTCTAAAATAATACTCACTTTTTAATATAATTCTTAAATTATCTAAAAAATAATAAGTAATTATTTTGATTATATAGCTCAAGAAGTACATAAAATTAGTAAATTTAATTCACATAATTAAGGTGATAAAAAGTAACATGATAATTTTTAAATTTTGAACAAGGATTGAATTAACAAAATTAATATGTTTTAAATATTCTTAATTAATTTTATATTATTTAGAGACTTAATTGAAAAAAAATTTAAGAAATTTATTGATGGTTTCTTTTATTTTAAAATAAAAAATTAATATAAATTTTATTAATATATATTTTAAGTTTAAAAAAATTTATCTTAAATTTTGTCTTAGGCCACCAAATTTGTTGAGCCGGCCCTGAACTGAGTAGAATAATTAAATTTGTTATTGAGTTAGTTAGCTTTGTAACTATTTTGATCTACTTATAACACTTGGATGTTAGGAATGTTAGGGGAGATTTTTAATAGGAAGTATTGAATATTATAGGAATATTTTTTTAGAGCAACACCTTTGTGAGAGACACGCCACCACTACAAGAAACATTGCATTTTCTCAAGTGATTTTCACGTCACTAACCCAAAAATCACGTCACTGATCAACTTTTGCGACGTGGGTAAAATACGTCGGAAATGCAATGGTGGGAACATTTTCCCATGTGGAAAATAGGTCACAAAGTTGTGACATAGATTTCACATCGCAAATAACAAAAATAAGAGAAAAAGTTCCCATGTGATTCCCACGTCACTAATTTGTGACTTGGTTTTCACGTGGGAACCCACTGGCTTTGCACGACAGTAATTAAATTGTTTCCCATGTGATTCTCGCGTCATTAATTAGTGACGTGATATGCATGCCACAGTGAAAATATGTTTTATATTAGTGACATGGTTTGCACTTCACTATAAAATTTAATAATAAAAAAAATATATTAACTAAAAACAACTATAAAATTAAAATAAATATTAAATATTAACTATAAAATTTAAAAAATTAAAATAATGTACATTAAAAATACATTACATATTTAATTTGTTTCTAATAAATATTCTGTTTATATATATTATGTTTTTAATTCGAAATATATATATATATTCTAAAAATATATATTCTACTACAAATTATTTTTATATTTTGATTTCAACAACAACAACACAATAAACAAAAAATCTCAAAAATATATCAACAACACAATATTTTAAAATCTAAAATTTTCTAATATATCAACATAATAATATATCAACAACAACGCAACACAATAATATATCAACAAAAATCTAAAATTTACTAATCAATATTCTAAAATAATATTTCATATATCACCAAAATCTCAAAAATAAACAAATTGAAATGCATAAATACTCAATGTGCTAACTCTCAAAGCTTCCAATTGTACTTCTTAAATCTTAGATCTGGAAAAAAATCAACAATTAATAATAAGATAAACATAAAATAAACGGTAAAACATTCACAAAAACAACATACATATCAATCCCCTTAATTTTTTTGTGAAATTTTTGTTAAAATGGAGGTGTGAGGGAGGCAGTAATGGAAGAATGAGGGAAGAAGGAAGAAAGAATGAAGCAAAGAAGATAAAATGAGATATGTGGCTGAAGGAAATTCTGGTGAATTAATATATAGGGACACTTGTGACGTGGTGAACACGTGGGAAGGTACCCACGT